CGCTCAACCGCTCGCGTCGCGTTCTCATGTTTAAACAAAATGAAATGCTACTCTGGACCAAAAAACTCGTTTTTTTTCTAAAGTTACAGCATTTCGTGTGTGAAATAACTTTTTTTACTGTATCTTGGTGGCGTCACAAGCGCGAGATGCTTGGGCTTTTGCGTCGCGGCGGAGAAACGCTATTCTAAAACTCTCTTGCGTCGTGTGCGCGAATACAAGCGCTAAATTTAGCGCTAGCGTGCGCTAAAATTGCGTACGTTATTCTAAAACTCCCTAATATATGGGCAGAGCCTCTTTCCGAACGGAAATGAATTGACAATTTACGACGGATGTAGCGCTCGGGGCTCGCATCCGCGTGATGCTCGCGGGTCGCATGCGGCCCGCGAATATCTGGCCCGCGGCCCGTGAGCCACGTGTTTGAGACCCTTGGCCTACACCATGAAACGCTCTCCGTGTTATATTCATGAAAACTTTGCAGAACCCAGGGATCCTGGGTTCGAGCCCCACCCCTGCCCCTTTCGATCTGGATGAGCATCGTACCGGCGTGCGGTCGTGTATCACTACTGCGTGATGCACGTTAAAGACCCCAGGCTAGCGGTTGTACCGCACTGGCTAAATTTCTCATCTACAGCTGGGAGATTCGTCGGCCCTGTGAGGCAGACCAAGTTCTAGGCTGTATAAACATACACACAGCCCTTTTTTTTTTTTTTTCATGGAAACTTCGCGCCACCTTACGGGTTCAGAGCACTCTCAGAAAACTTGGTGCGTTGGCGATAAGATACTTTTGACAAATACCGCGCAATCAACAGTGACCTACCTGTTCATTTAGTCGTACCACGGCAGCGTTTATGTTTAGATTGTGGCTTGTACTATCAACGTGCTTGCCAGTACGTATATCACTGGAAACAAGATAATAAAAGAAATCCATCGTCACAAAATTTTAAGGCTGGACAAGAGAAACCGTTCGAATCAAAGGCTTCGCATTCTCCTATTCGTGTGGGTTTACGTGAGGTATGCGTCAAAGCATACCATCTGATAGTGGGCTGTAGATAACATACTAATTTACAACGTTTGTTGTTGCTTTTAAAGAAAACAATAGTTTCGTACAATTTAATTGAGAACTACTTTTGTAGATTAAGTTGGATTAAAGCCTCGATAAACGGGGCTGCAGGAAAGAATATAAGACGTGTTGGGGGCGTCCTGGCAAAAACCCGCTGACCGGAGACCGCAGGCGCTCGTATTTGGCATGGGAAGCATGAACGCGAGCGGGAATGCAAAATTTTTGAAGTGATTTCCCGAAACCTTCAATGGGATATTGAGGTTCGTTCCCGGTAGTTGACGCCATTCGTGGGTTCTGTCAACCACCGTTCTACCGTCAAAAAAAAAAAAAAAATGCATTGAAGTTTTGAAGAAGATAACGGTTAGAGGCTGAAACTTTGGGGTCTGGTCCGGACCGGAAGCGCTGCCTGCGGGCAGAGACAGCGTCTGGCGATGCGTAGTTTATTGCTGCGGAAATAAAAAAAATAAAAAAAACACTGCAGTTTATTTTATGTTAGTTAAACATATGAAATAGCGCTTGTCCTTATACTGCTTGTCCTTGTCTTTTTTGCGCTATTTTATACGTTTAACTAACCAGCTAGCCCCACAACGTACCCTACTTAACCTTTATTTTATTTCTTTCGGGAACCCCCGTATTTGTTTAGCACGGTGGCCAAGAGCGTCAGGCCACCTTGATAAGGCACAGCAGAAGGGTGGATTATAGTAGAGTATAGGCAACATAGAACAGGTCGGAGAAAATCATCTAGGGAAAATTGAACCAAGTACACGTAACTATAGCACAGCGGGGGACAGGCGGGAACGGAAAATTGAAACTCCTTCCCTAAACCCGTCTCCCAGCGAGTCTGATGTCAGATGACGCCGTCAAGGTTTGACCAGAGGCAGAAGGCGAAAGTAAAGTGATGTTTTTAATGGGTTTTCTTTTTTTTCGATCCTTTAAAGGTCTGCTTGGCGATCACCTTTATGGCCTGGTGATAGTAAACAGAAACGCATTGGCTTGGAAGGCGGAAAAGGGAAATCAGGCTTTTGCTGTTGGTTTTATAGGCTAGGTGGCGCAAGCTACCACCCGTTATAAAGGGTACAGTCGTTATTATCCATCCATATACAGGTGGCGCGCGAACACTCGGAAGCTGACGGCCCAGCAGCAAGGCCCCTTTTGTTATTCGTCGTAATGTAAGACCCGAGATCGTGGCGCAGAAAAAATTGAGAAACGTTAACTCGAAGCAAAAGACAACAGTAGGAGAACGTCTCGAAATGACTTCTTTACGGATACCCTTTGTGGACACAACAACCGAATTACCTCCTAACCGTGAAAGCGAGAAAATAAATGAAATTAACCGAGACTGAGACGTTCCCCTATCGTCTTTTCCTTCAACCTGAAAGTTTATCTTTCCGCACAACAGCCTCGGGTTTTATATTATGATTAATTATCACCAGCTCGCCTGCACACTCCGTATTTTTTTTTCTTTTTTTTTTTTACGTTTTTGTGAATGTAGTGTGTTATTATTGAAACCCAAGGCTCCGTGCTATTCCCCCGGGTCGGGTGTGCCGCAAGGCAGACCGACCATAAAGCCTCCCGTGACTAGGCGCCCCACTGCCCCCTTCCCTCAGCTAGGCCACGTAACAATCACACGTCGCTGGATTGGCTCGTATAGGGTCCGCTGCGGTCCATCCTAAGATGAAACGAAGTATAGCATTCCTTATCTGAGGCAGCTAATCAGAGCCTGCACTCTCTGATCGTTCACAATAAAAGCAGAAAGAATAAATCGTCATGTTGCTCTATTGGCGTCGTGCGCGACCAAAAGCGTCGCTTTGGTCGCAATGAGTGGTGATGTGTTGTACAGTTGTTTTTATGTATCATTTATTAACCCACACCTATTATAGTCCTACATGATAGTATGTGAAATAAGGAAAATAAATTGGCCAAACGTCTTTATTGTAATCAATTTTTTTTTTTTCAACGACGGGAATCAGCACAATGTTTACATGCTATTTTCACAGACATAATATCGAACCAGAACTAGTCATTGGTCAAGATTACAACTCATGGCGTCACTGCGAAGAAAATTCTTGTTATGACGTCACGAACGGAAACCATAAGAAAGTGCCACCGAAACATCTCGGCTGGAGAGGCGACCTCCAGCGTTCGCTCTGCTAAACTGGAAAGGGGTGGGAGGAGCTTCCCCTGAACTTCTAACCTGTCGCCACATCAGACGGCGCCTGTGAATGCCGGGTCACTATTTGGTGCGGCTCCCCCATGTATTGGCCACAGGTCATTGACTTATGGCATCGCTCCCTAGCGCGAAGCGAGCTTCGGCGTTGACAGCATCTCAATGCATCACAGCAGGCGGGATACCCGGGTCGCCACAGGGACAATACGAAATCTGACATAACGCTGTCGAAGCTATGCACGCAGACATTTTCCTCGCGCCACTGAACGTTGTACGACAAGTTCACAACGTAATGAGGCTGGAAAGGAGGCGATATGTGATGATGCTTATTTCATCCCCAATGTTTCGAGCACGCCACCAATGCGCGACGAAATGTGTCCGGAGGACGGAACAGCCCATGGTGTACTTCACTCATCCCTCCGACCAAGAGAGAAGATAATTAAGAAAACACCTCCTGAAGCAGGACAAAGCACATGAGCATCCACGCAGCACAATCCCAGGTGGACCGCTATCTCTCCACACAGACACTCCCAAAGTTGGACATCCCCTGATCGCAGTACCAGCGTCCCAGCTGGGGGAGGTTTGTCCGAGAATGTAACTTTATTTTTGGTGTTCGCGTTGGTTTTTTTCACAGCTCTCTTTCCGCCACTCCCTTATCCAAAGGTCCAAAGCAGCCAAGCAGCGACCGCTCGCAATTTTAGCTCTTCAAAACTGAACAATGACGCAGGGAGATGGGACGATTGATGCTGTAGTCCTTGTTACACACGCGCTCCATCCCCACTAAGTAAGCTTTATGCGTTCTCGCCATCTCTCCTCGTTAGTATCACAGACCGGCGTAGATAAATATGTCTGGAGGAGGACTGTTAGCGGCACCACTTAAATAATTGAAGTCATTGCGACAGGGAAACGTACTTGTAACCAACTCTCGCGTATTACGGCACTGAAAGCAACCGGCACACTGCCCATTTATAATAATATTAAAAAAAAGAACAGAATGCTTTCACGAACCTCCGTATGATATAACTTATAAGAATAAAACGAGAAATGGGGAAGGGGGACGCTTGGAAGTGAGTCACGCATCCAACGTTAGTAGAGCGAGGCCATATGGCCTAGCTTGGTGACACCAAACATGGCACGAGCTTTTCAATCACACGTCTCTATAACCGAGCATGTCTGCATAACCGAGACAAACACACAAATAAGAACGCGAGCAAGCGAACTTTCAGTCAGTCACACGGCGATCCTTTCGAGCAAATGGGTGATCGCGTGAAAGCATTGTGAAGATCGACGTGCAAACAATTGACGGCCGCGATTGCGAAACAACGGCAATGGACATCCGCAGATTGAGTCCTCTAATGTGTTCAACATGCAAACCATGTCGCGCGCAAATCGATCAACGCGTCCGTTTTCAGTTTCAAAACAAGGAAAGCAGCACGTCTCACTGACGAGCTGTGTGGGTCTCGGTTTTCCAAACATAAGCTCGCTCCCGTGTCCAAAGGTCCAAAGCACCCAAAGCGCGGTCGGTGTGTCCGGTGGGTGCAAATCGCACCCCTACGGAACGTCAACCGCGTATTCACCTACAAAGAAACATTTCGTACCGTCAAGATTGAAAGGCCGACGCAGAACGCATTGACGATTTGTCGTGGCTTTGAGCGTCCAACGCGACATGATTGAAAGGAGCGACAACTCGATTCCGGGCACGAAGGCGGCGGAACGGCTAGTCGTAGCGACGAGAGAAGGAAGCAAAAATCGCACGGACATTGCCTCACTTACCGTTCACCCACGTTGGAAGACTTCGATCGTGGAGTTGTCGCGTCCAGCAACGATGAATTTGCGAAGGCAACGCAGCATCGCCGTCCACACACACTCATAACAAAAAGGCCAGTGTCTATGGGTTTGTTAGGGGCGCAAAGTGAAGGGGAAAGTCGGGAAGTCGCGGAGTGGCGGAGTGTAGGGAGGCTCAAGTGAGGGTGGGTGCAACTGCTAGATCGGCGATCACGGGACATGGACGCCATTTAATTGCTAAATTTTGCTGGGAGTCTATGGGGCAAAGGGTCGTTTTCTTTCCTAACTCGGGTCGTAAAAGCCCATTAAGGTGCTTGAATAATTTACAGAAGGTATAAATGATTACGTTTCCATAGCCACCAGTTTTGTTGCGATAGGTTAAGTATTTTTTTAACGCGAAAAATGGTAAATTCCGCCATCTTGGACGTTGCTGCTTGTCTGGCAACTTTGCTTTCTCCGCTCGACGTTTGCAATTCTCGGAGCGAGAAGGAAGCGAGAGAGGCTGCGCCAAGGCGCTCGTTGCTTGCAATGGGAGGCGAGAGGAGGAAAGGCGCATGGAGCAACAGAGTTGCAACAGAGCGGGCGCCTGCTCTCGTGCAGGCAACACTGGCGCATATCCTTTCTCGAATCCTCTCCCTCAGGCGCCGCCATTAAATTGCAAACGCTCTCCAGGTTTTGAGTTGCGCCCACCCTCACTACAGCCTCCCTAGCGGAGTGAAGCGCTCGTGCTGCCATCTCTCCTGAAAAGCGCACACTTCACGCAAAAAGAAACGAACACATACTCGTGGATACTCGTAAATTGCTTAGGCCAACCGATCAGCTTTCGGAGCTTGGGTACAGTCTGATTAAAAATAAAATATTCTGCGTAGCCGAATAGCGTAAAAAAAAAGGGGCAAATACAGGATTCTTTAACGCAGTTTCATAAGAAATATCAAGCTCCCGAAGATCCAGTCCGATGTGGTCTAGTGGCTAGGATACCTGGCTTTCACCCAGGAGGCTCGGGTTCGATTCCCGGCATCGGAGGTATGGTCCCATGGTGTAATGGTTAGCACTCTGGACTCTGAATCCAGCGATCCGAGTTCAAATCTCGGTGGGACCTGCTATGTTTTTGCTTGTGACCGGCAAGTTGTTTTCGTCTAGAGAAGATCTGCACGATTTTTCAGCGCGTTCGGCAAAACTCGAGTTAAAATGCTCAACATTGTAAAACCCGAGACGTAGGACGAAAAGGAGAAGAAACAAAAGGACAACAACAACCCTTTTTTTCTTCTCCTTTTTGTCCTACCTCTCGTGTTTTACAGTTTTTAAAGTTCACCAGCTCGCTTGCATCTTCTCTGTAATTTCCACTGATGTAACTTCTTAAAATGCTCTGCCGCTCAACTCTTTTCTAAAACAACACCGGCACAATTCTTCCCCCCCCCCTTTTTTTTCCTCGTATTTTGCCGAGACGGGTACATATATTTAACAACTCTCATTGCAAGTCGCAAAAAAGAAAACGCAGGTGGCTTGAAATAAACTGGCCTCGCAGGAGCTGCAGTTAATTAGATCGGACCGATTTGTAAAAATGTTAGAAACTACCGAAGCTGGAGGTATTTCTCTTTTCATTCGGAAAGCGAAGACATGCTAGGGTAATCAGGTAGCAGAGAAGGGATATGATACGATCATTCATACCATGCTCCTGCTGTACTTTTTTTTTTTTTTTTACGCTGTGATTTATGAAACATTCCTTGCATATTTAAGCAAAACAAGTGTGTCATCTGCAGTACGTACCGGTTACGCGTGCGCCACACACAATATGCTGCACCTACATGCAGAACTCGTTTGTCAAGCTCTCTCTGCCGACCTTGTGTTAGTGATATTCCTTGTGTAAACATTTATTTTGAGCTTAACTCGAAAACAAATTGCATAAGAGAAATATGTGACAAACTTTAAAGTAAAAAAACTCAGTTTTTTTTTTTTTTTTTTTTTGCAATGTGCATTTATGTTTGTCTAATATTCGGACCTTGTCGCTCCATGCGACATAATTTACCGCCATATGCATGCGTTTTTGGCACATGCCAAAAATAGCTCATTATTCTTTTAAAATACTTAACTCGAACCACGGGTGGATCTCACAGCGAGCGCGACTCTTGCCCGGAACGGTTCACCGAGACTCGAGCGGGCCAACTGGGCCACTGGGCTTCCACAAAAGCGCTTCCTCGATTTCCGCCTGGTGACGTCATAGAAGTGGCATTTTGCAGGCATTTTGTCGCCAGTCGCGATCCTGGCGGTGTCCCAACAGCTGTGGTACGTGAGGCAGACGCTTGTTCTGCTGCGGGTCGCTCTCCAGGGTGACAGTCCACGGAAGCAAACGAAGCCAGAAGTTGGGACGCCATGACGACAGCGACACTCGCGTTGGCTCTAGGGGTGTCGCGAACCGGCCGCGGTTCGAGTTCGACCAGGTTCGACTTTTTCGAACTTTTAGTGGAAAGGTCGACGAACCTTGTATTGAGGTTCGACTCGTGTGCGCATGCGCGACTGGCTGGCCAGTTGGCTTCGGATTGGATGGTAATGGCTAAGATATTAATTAATTACAGCGCTGATTGGCTATTTCAGTTAATACAGTACTAAAAATTAAGTTATTAACTTCTTCAGTGATTAGAATTAGTTTCTTTTAATTGCAGCTGTTCACAAAATAAAATAACCCTTTGCATAAAAAAAAATTCTCCAAACCTAGACATGCTTGTATCAAGGACTGGCCACACTGTCCATAAAGTCGAACCGGTCGAATCTGGTGAAAACTTCAAAGGTTCGTCGAACCGGTTCGACCCAGTCGAACCCCGAAAGTTTGATCAAAAAATCTGGTTCGACAAAAGTTCGCGACACCCCTAGTTGGCTCTAGAGCACTATATAGCTCCTACGGAGCAGAGTAGCGCAATCCTTTGAACCCCGTGTTTTGCCGACAACATGGCCGACAGAGCGGCTCGGCGCGAGTCACGTGGTACTCAGGGTTCCAGGAGGCGGCCCGCCCTATGGGAGAATACATGGAGATCGACGTAACACGGCTGATTAAAAAATGAACGCCGAGTTCACACTTTTCAAAACTAGTCTGTCGTGAAGTTAGTAAAGCACTAAACATTTTATCAAAGTTTTAATAATATCGGATGCGTGTGCAAATTTTGAGACCGCAATTTCCAAGGCAATGGCGTTTGAAGCAGACGATTTTTGCTCGCAGCGCAGATGGGCTTTTCGGGTTGGCCGGAGCTGGTCACGTGAATGGTGTGACGTCGACGTGTCGTCTGCTGCATGATGCCGCTCAGGCAATTTTTTAAAAAAAGTTATGCCCTTGTATGGCACAAAACTTATCGCATATTATTCTAAAATGTTTCATTGTTATGTCAAAAATGATTTCCATTCCGCACATCCCCACAAAACTGAAGAAACAACGATTTTCTCACGTTCTCCATGCATTTCTGACCGCGGTTGGAACCTCCGGGCGTTCGCCGCTAGTCGCCGAGAGGCGGCGTTCTAGATTGCGCTACTCTGCTCCGAAGGAGCTATATAGTGCTCTAGTTGGCTCGTGCTTTTCGCCAGCATGTCTATTTCCAACCGCCAGGATCGCTACATCCAACAGCATGACATAGCATGACAGGGGGGTAAAGGTGGGTGAGGAGGAGTGGCAAATCCCGTGCGCCGACATCCTGGGTCCCGAGTGAACGATCGCAAAAGAGAGCGACAGAACACGAGAGAAAGAAAGCAACGTTGCCATGGTAAACGCGGTAAACGCGAAGAGTGTGAACTCTCAGCAATATAAACAGTGATAATTTAACGTTGTAAACTAAATTCTGAGCTATTCTAACGCTTATAAAAAGCAATAAACTCATTACGCTGCATTAACTTCCCTTCTGTCGAAATCTCGGAAATCTGGTGGTTGCGCAGTTTCGTATTCCTCAACTGCGCCCAGCCGCGCCCCACCAGCGAAGCCGGGTATATGGTTTAGTTTAGCGTTAACGCGAGGCCGTACATCTGCGCGCTATGCAAAAAGAAACCTTCGAAAGGAACGCGAGTATTTTTCCACCGGTAAGTTCGTGGATTGTTGAAGTTCACGAAACTGCTCTGATGATGTAACCGTGTTTGGGACCCAGAGGGTCTGCCTCCATGGTCCGCCGCTTGCGGCAGCCAGAATGTATGGGAAAATGGCGGACCTTTTCCTCTAGATTTAGTAAATGATCTCTATGTAGCATGACAAGCATTCCTCCTTTTGTGACGTAATTTGTTGCAACGTGGAAATAAGCAACAGAGGTTTGCCGCCTCTCTTATATGCGGCATTTTGAAGGATGTTTAGGGGCTTTACTAACGTTGGGCTTTACGTCCGCTTTGCTGTAGATGTAGTATTTCGAGATTTCAACGCGTTTGCTTCGAAAGTCTAGCAACAATCATGGCGCCCCCCACGGAGCATGTTTACGCTGTTTACGCATGTGTTTACGACACGACCGGCTTGGTCGTAGTCGTGGTTTAAGAGGGTCGCTCACTTGTTTTCGGGCCCTAATCATAACGCACGTGGACAGAGATGTCAAAGTCGAAGAAGGGGCTCGGTCAAGTCAGTACAACAGTTATCACGGTAAAGAGCGTGTAGCACTGCACTCATATTTACTTATTAATTGTTTTGCCATCCATTGACAGAAACTACCGAAAACTTGTGTCAAACCTGCGTCAACGACTATCCCTAAGACCGACGAGCCCGACGAAGAGGAGGTGAGTTTTACTTTTACATGTGTTTGATAACAATCTAAACAGGCAGACACAAATTTAAAAAGTGAAAAAAAAAAAAAAAAGTCACGTGTTGCTTGTGCAGGATTTGCAAGAGCGGTTCGAACGCGAGCTGTGTTGGTGCGTGGAGCAGCTAAACATTACGCTGTCAGAAACCGACCCCAGCAAAAAGAAATGTATGTCTTCTTCTTTGGATCAGCTGTATTACTACCATTAGAGAAAAGCTATCCATGTTAGCCATGCTAGCATGTGTAGCATGTTACCCATGATAATGAAAGCTCCCCTTGTTGTTTTTCCTTCCCCCAGACTCTGAGTACCTGCGCGCCCTTCAAACTCTCCAGAACCCAAAGACCTGCATGGTCAAAAAGCGTCAAGTCATGAGCACCACACTCGGAAACTACAGGGACAAAATGAGGCAACAAAAGTCAAAATTTATGGCAGGTAATTGACTAGTATTTTACTTTGCATTTGCGATTGCAAGCTTCACTGTGTTCTCCTCCAGCGAGGAATAGTCGAGCTCCAAAATCTTTGCCTCAACTTTTAACTAAGAAAAAAATGATAACTTTTAAATTTCTTGAAGTGTGCCGCCGTGGTCATATTTGACTGGCAGGCTAGTAAATATATCGGCCAGCTGGCCCAACCATATCTGTCAAAACAAAAAAAACAAAAAACAAAAAAAAACTTTTGTTATGTTTATAAAGTGAGCTGAATATTGTCAGCTCAGTTCTCAAGTGTTTTGGAAGTCAATTTTTGCAGTGACTGCAAGTAAGTTGCTACACATCTGCAGTCAGTGTAGAAGTACTGAAAGACAGACAGGCAAGGTGCACAGTACCACAAGCCAAGCTCTGAAGCATGTTGCAATTAGAAATGAAAGTTTAGACCCCCCAACTCCAATGCCCATTGCAAATAGAAATGTTGTGTGGTTACTGGTCGGTCAAAGCGTAATTTGAACCCATATTGAGCGTTCAGGTTTGTACCGTAATATTCCGAGAGATGGCTCCTTAAATTGGAGCAAATATCGTATTTTCCAGACTATAAGTCGCGCATCCGTATATTGAGCCATTTTCGTGGAAAAGTTGGTATATAAGTCGCACCTTTGTATAAGTCGCACCTGTTTGCATGGTTCACGCTATGATTTCTTCAGTTTATGCACATTGCAGGGATGGGCAAAATACAAGCAAATATGTATAGAAATACAAAATACTTTGTTAAAAATGTATTTAATTACAAATCTAATTACATTTCCAAAAAAGCATTTAAGTACGAGATACAAATACAAGCAAATGTATTTGCTCTTCTCCACATACTCTTCCAAATACATTCCTAAAAATTTGCATCAACGACTTCAGGGCACCTGCAACGGGTTTCTGGGTATCTCGTTTTAATTTTGCATCGCACACTCGGGAGTTAGTGTGCGAGGCTCTAGTAACGTAATAGAAATATAATCACAAAAAAATGTAGTCAGCTTGGACGTAATAGGTGAAAAAAGTACAGATTTTGTCGATTACATTTTGGTATAGACCAACAAAGAACCGAGACAACCGAGACGCGCAGCACTAGCTAGAGAATTTTTTATTGTTGCAACTCGCACCAGTTACGAAAACCTGGACGACCCGCGCATTTAGAATGTTCCAGGCGAAAATATGGATGGAAATCAGGCTGGAAAGCATCACAAGTTGTCACAGGCGCTTATTTAGCCAGTCTGCCTGTGAACGTCGATTTCGTCACTATTCTAGCCCTGGACTAGCACTGTAATCACAAAGTCACTAAACGCTTGTGCTTGATTGAGAGACACTGCATTCGGTGCAGAACATAGTTTTCTTCCTGCTCTGGACACGTCTTAGGATGAGCAAAATGAGTCGTGACAATAAATTTGAGAAATGTATTTTCGCCCACAAAATTGTATTTAATTATAATTGTATTTGAAATACCCACATTTTAGTATTTAAATACATGTCAAATACATTACCCAATTTGTAATTAGATACAAATGCAAAATACAGAAAGTATTTAAAATACGTATTTCATATTCTTGTATTTGAAATACTGCCCATCTCTGGCGCATCGGTATTACGAAATCGGAGTTTCGCACAATTGCTAGATCGCACTGAATGTTTGACTTACATTTCGACTCGTGAGAAATGCCCATAGTATGGTGCTGTCTGGCAGGGGCAATCGAGTGTTTTGCAGCAAAAGGATGTAAAATGTGCAAAATGAGAGGGTAGTCGACTTTATTCGAGCGAACGCATGCCGACTGAACAAACGTTTAAGGAGCTAGACACTCGCAAACCAAGCTTTGGAGCACTAGGCCTGGCCAAGTCCTGGAGACGACGCGAGCAATGATGCGCAGGCGGAAAGATAAACCTTGACATATTTTTTTCTGGTACCTCTAAAAGATTGGCTAGCCACAATCCTTCCATTTACATGTAGCAACACGGCTGGAGCGTGGCACAAAAAGACTGCCCGCCAAATGGAAACTAAGAAAGACGTGAGAAAATATTCTGCAATGCGTGTATACCAGCCCACTTACTTCTTAGTGTTACTGGACTGAAGCAAAAGAATACAGAACCATGGCTTAATTAAGCAACATCAATAACATGCTGTAAAAGCTTTATTCTCACTGTCTTGCCTATGCACATTGAGCCGCTTCGGGGAAACAATAAAAATTAAAATATCTCGCATTCCTAGTCAAAATAGTGTGGCGACAGCAGTGCCTCCTGGAGGAAGAAACACCACCTGTGGCTACGCTGTTATGGTGCTCTACAAAAAATGACGCGCAGCGTATAAAAAAATGGCGTCGCACCTAAAAATTTTTTTTTAATAAGTCGCATTGTTGTATAAGTTGCACCAAGAAAAAATGTTTGAAAAAAACCGCCACTTATACATCGGAAAATACGGTATGCGGAAAATAAAGGTGGGGGCGCAAAATTTCAAAGCGAGCCCAAATAAAGTTTAAAATAGAGTTGCAGCCAGGTTGTCAATCAAGTCAATTTCTTTGCAGTCTCTTTGCGGAACTCGTCACGCATGCTGTGAGAACGGGAAAGTTTGTTTACAGTCTCCAACCAATTTTCGGGACATCTTCACAGGACCATTGCTCGTCCCAGACGCTATTTTCGTCTCGGTATTTCAGATTTCGTTTGCACCGTTTGCCCACAGGACTGTCATAGTCAATCCAATTGCCTCCACGTAGTCCTTATGTTGTTGCCTCAATACTAAATCCCATGCACAGAGCCGTGCACACTGCAGGTATCCGCAGCCAACTGGCAGATACGGATACAAATTAATCAGATTTGGCAGATCGCAGATCGGATGCGGATATCTGCGGGTCTAGATCTGTTTTTGCCGAGGCAGCCCGCAAACGTGTGTGACCGTATAGTGAGTTACACTGTGGAGTGCATCATTGAATGTTTTTGCAGAGCAAATTACTCTTATATAAAACTTGTGCCAATAAGGGAGAGACTTGTTCTTTACGTCAAGAAATACCTGATTCTCAGCAAAGATCGAGTTTAGAGAGTTCTATCTCACCAAAGTTGCTGTCTCTAGCCAGGGGCATTAATCGTCCCTGGAAAACATGCTCTTGTTTCGCAGGGAAAGAGAAAATGTTTTCGGGCAAAGAAAACACAAACACAAGCAAATAAGTCCCCCCCTCGCCCCCCACCATGGCATGCGTGTTTTTGTATTTTTTTTGCTCAACAGCAAGTTTCTGTTAGGTATGTGGTTCAGAGAAGGCAGTTTTGGGTTTGTGTTTAAAACTGAAATCGATAAGAGGTGTTGCCATTATTGAATACTGTGATATCTTCCCAGCGGTGTACTCGCGTCTTACCACATAAATATGAGTACTTCGCTGCGGTGAGTGACTGCCTTTTTCTCAACTTTTTTGTCTGACCTAAATAAAATGACACAATGTCATTAGTCTGTCCTTTGTTAATTTTCATGTTAGAAAATATCTGTGCTCAAAATAACTGTTACAAAAAAAAATATATTGAAGTTTTCTTCTTTTTGAGCACATCTGGGCAGACTGTCGCAGTCTCCCGGACAATCTCATCTTTGCGATCATCTTTCCAGCAGTGTGAAATGCCTCGGGAAGGATGATTGCTTATAACAGTAGTTCTCAACCATTGATGTTTCACGGATCCCTGGTGGATGGGGCGGGTGGGGGGGGTCATGACAAAATGCTGTATGAGGGGGAGGGAGAGAGAGGAGGCCCCAGCAAAATGGAAGACTTGGGGGGAGGGGGGGTCATGGGCTCCCCCCATGGATATGTGCTTGTGGATCGGTGGAGGGCCCCATTCGTGTTGAGGGGAAGGGAAGGGTATACATTAATTATGATAATGATTTAATAAGCGAATATAACCAAGGGATAGTGTGAAGTAGACTTCTATCATTGACATACCCATGAAAAAACTCGCCCGAAAATAAAAATATTTCTTTTCAATCTGAAAAAAAAAATAAAAGTTTTATTGCTGGGCTTGACTGATGAGGCAGCGCATTGCAGACCTCTAGAATGCCTTCGCGGACCCCATTTGAGAACCACTGGCTTATAATATAAAATTATAGTGTGATAAAGCAGAATACTATAAAAAATTACTTTCATCATATTCTGACTCTAAGGGTTCTTTGTACAAGATAAGCAAACAGCTTATTAGTTATAAAGTACCATCCAGATACTTTTTTTTTTTTCATGGTTGATTTTATCATGTAAATTTAATGTGCGGATTGTGGGTCGGATGCAGTTCTGAATATGGCAGATTCAATTCGGATTGGATGCAGATACAATATTTTAAGAACATTGCGGGTGCGGTTCGGGTGCGGATACAAAGTCTGCAGATGTGGATTGGATGTGGATGAACAAACTTTTATCCATGCAGGGCTCGACTTATGCAAATAGGGAAGCGGGATTCAGGCTAAAGCTGGATGTTTCGATTTTGTTACAGCCGCCATGGCAATCTTTCGGCCCCACAACCATGGCACGGCTGCTGTTCTTTTCGTGTTATTTGGATGCAAGTTCTTTCTGCCAAGAGGCATAAAAATGAAGCGATCTTGATTGACCAAACGGTGCTTTGAAGTTCCAAATGGGGTCAATGAACACCCTGACATATGTGGTTAATGTAGCAAAAGGACTGGGGCGAAATAAGCCACCCCATTCACTCAATTGTATTAAATATACTTGTTTTTTTTTTACAAAATGCACATCTCCCTAATTGATAGGGATGCTGCCCTACCTATATTACCAGAAATATTCAAGAATGCCCGTCAAGTTTAAACAATTTCTTGAGCGAAAACGAAAAAAAACTTTGTATCTTGAAATCGCTCCACTAGCACCAAAACTGTTGTATGGCTCATAAAAATAAAAATACCTACAAGAATCCTGCAACTACAGGCCACTCTCTAGCCTTATAAATAAATCCCTGTGCGGATAAAAATTTGATCATCCATTTCGGTCCGCACCTGCAAACTTTGTATCCGCATCCGATCCGCATCTGCAATGTTCTTAAATAATTGCATCCGCGTCCGCAGACTTTGTATCCGTATCCGAACCGCATCCGCAAAATTCAGAAATGTATCTGACTCTCAATTCGCACATTCATTTGCATAGTAATATCAGCATTAATAAACCTTAAAAAAAATCTGGATGGTTTTCTATAAGCCGTCTGCTTACCTTTCCACAAAGAACTCTTTGTGTAAGAATACGGTGAAAGTCATTTTATTGTGTTCTGTTTTATCGTATATTTAAAATAAACGATCATCCTCCCGGAGACACTTCGCATCGCTCGAACGATCATCGCAGTTATCAGATCTTCTTGGGAGTCCGTGACACTGACGCTCTGTCTAGTATATGCGCTCAAAAGGAAGATAATTTATATTTATTTTACTTTTACTTTGTAGAACCCACCTCAAGCAGACGCATATTTTATAAACATGAACATTGTCAAAGGACAAACTAATAACATTGTGGCATCTTTTTTTTAGTCCAAACAGCAAAAAAAAAGTGGGAGGAAAGGCACTCAATTCGCAGCAGCAAAATACTCGTGTATATATGGTAAGGCACGAGTACACCACTGGGAAAATATCACAATATTCAATAATGGCAACACCTCCAATCGGTCACAGCTTTGAATACAAATTCTCAAATGCATGCTCGGAACCATATACTTAAAAACAACTCAGTGCCAACTGTCGAGAAAAAGAAAACGCAAACACAACATTTCACTTGTCGATGTCGTTGTGTAGAAGAAACAGAATATTATCAACTCGGGCGGATTCAGACTGGTTCGCCTCTTTTACATTAATACTCGCTAGTGAGATGTATCTCTTCGTTGGTGCACTTGATCCTGGGATGGTATGCACAAACTGCGCTACAAGAATGAGGTGCGGAAACTCGTGCTGGCGCTAGTTCCACCACTCCAGAGGATCGAATTCATTCACTTGTAGGCGAAGAAGCCACTTGCAGGCGTCTTTTACTTTCTTGTGGCTTGTACGTTTTGGTTTTCTTTGCCCAAAGTACATTTTCCGCTCTTTCCCTGCCAAAGAAGAACACGCTTCCCGGGACGACTGATGCTTCTGCATTCTTTGCTTTTTCTAGGGACAGTATTTTTGGCGAGATAGAACGTTCTGAGGCAATCTTTAGTGAAAAAGAAATCTTTATTGACGTAAAGAACAATTTTCTCCCCGATTGGCACCTTTTATCTAAGAGAGTAGTTTGCCCCCGCAATACATTCGATGATGCACTTCATAGTATCACTCACTCATTCGCTACACTGTACGGTCGCACACGTTCATGGGTCGCCTCGGCAAAAACGGATCCGGACCAACGGATATCCGATCCGCATCCGCAGCCCCTGGCATCCGCATCCGATCCGCAATCTGATTAATTTTTTATCCGAATCCACTAGTTTACTGCGCATATCCGCGGATAATCTGCGGATATGCAGGGCTCTACTTATAAAACATTGCAAAGCAAATGCCCTTATTTGAAGTTCCCAGCACTTGAAGCATAAACTCAGCAACTCATCCTTTCAATTCCAGAATGTGCACGAAAGACAAATCTGCAAACTAGTGGCAGTGCCGTGCCAAAGTCCATCTTCCTGAAAACGACTGCGTCGAAGCATGGCAAGGACGAGGCTCCATTGCCCTCGCAGTTCCAGTTCGGGTTTGCCATTGACGAGGAGGCATCCTGAGGTACACTCGCTGCTGTTGTTACGTATGGGAAATAAAGTTGGCAGTACGTATTGCAAGCACAAATGACTTTCCTTACACCATTGGACTAGTCTCTCAAGAAATGCTACCGTAATATCTTGAGAGGTGCCCCACCCCCTCCCTTTTTCAGAAATATCCAAAGATAGTCTACGTCCTGTAATTGCAGGGCCCTGGTCAACGGTGACTAAGGGTGGCGATGTGGGTTAGTTGGTTCTGACTGATGAAAAGGCAAACAGCGTACAGTAAACGGGGACTAAACGAAGCCAAACGTAAGCGTAAGCCAAATGTCACTGGGCTTAAGTAGTAAAAAGATGGGATTTTTTTGACACGTGGTGAATGTATCATGACGTGGGCGGGGTTGCTGTTTTTTTTTTTGTTTTGTTTTCATGTGATTAAAGTTCAGTTGAGAGTCAGCACTTGCCCTGTGTGCACTTCCTTTAGTCCCCGTTTACTGTGCGCTGTTTGCCTTTTCGTCAATGGTGACCTCAGCACAAATGGCGTTACTTAACCACGCCGGAAGATAAGCAAACATTGCTGACTGGGAAAGGACATTCGTCTTTGGTTCATTACCCTTTCCTGTGATCACAACTTTTGATTGTCACAAAATCTAAAACTAGCATTTATCAACTTTTTTTTTATGGCACATTAAAAGTTAGCCCACCTTTTATTTTCATCCGATTTGCTATCGATTTTAGGTGGGCTATCTCAGAATATTACGGTAGTCTCTGAACAGTGTGCAGAAGAAACTGAAATTGCTTGAATAGAACAGATTAAAATGGGGTATAGCTTACATTATGTCCTGCCCAAATATTTGGGAAAGGTTACCAGTTGCAAAAGCATTGAAAGCTTACCTTTTATATGTGCCATTCTTGTAAGCATTAGCTAGTGCAGGGGTTCTCAAACTGGGTTCTTCAAGCTGGTCTCATGGGTTCTGCGAGCACCCACACTGCAGTTCACCGCCCCCCCCCCCCCCCCCCCCACCCCCTCCCGTCCACCGACTGAGCCATGGATTGGGTTGGTGTTGTGGGCAAAGCAACCTTGTGCACCAATATGTTTTACATTCTGCCCCAGGTTAACCCCTCTGCCTTATTCGGTCTGTACTCCTCCAGTTTGTCTTATTCTGTCAGTGCGATAAGCTCTTGGTCACTTTCTAAATGCCTTTATTGCCCAGTATTGGTCGGCAACGGGTTGGGGGGGGGGGGGGGGTTCCTTGGGATTTCTTGAAACTTGCTGGGGGTTCCCTGGGACGAAAAAGTTGGAGAACCCCTGAGCTACTGTATTCAAAAGCAGAGTGTCAACTTCTAACTCGATTGCATGTGTGGGATGTCTATGTAGGCTGTATACTTTCCGGTTTTAACCGAAAAAGACAGATAAACATCCGCCGGTGTCAAAAAGAAAAAATTGGTTAAAACCGGAAAACACCGGTTTTTAGATATTTTCGTACAAGCGGCAGTTTTTTTGTTTTTTTTTTCTTTATTTTTATTGATAAAGTTGTGTAAACGTTTCTCAAACTGGTTCATATTTTTTTCTTTACAGTCGTCATTCAGGTTTTCTAAGGTCTCTTGTAAATCGAGATGCGTTTTTTCTGTCGGTGCACATTACTTTGACCACGAGTTTATCTCCCCAAAAGTTTGTCCCTTTTGTAGATAGCCTTGTTGAAGGTTGCCCTCCTTTTCTGCGGACCCTAGTTGGGGAGTTTCAAGTGTCTTTCATATTGTGTGTCGAAGCGCGTCCCGAAGTTGCATTCGCCAGATTGGCCAGTACTATCCCAAGGCTCTTTTTGGACATTTTGGGACTTCCCACGTCCAGCGCAAATGTAGAGCGCGCATTCTCGAATTTGCGCACTGTCAACAGGAAGGAGCAGGCGGGAATGACAGATGTGAGCCTTGGAGTGTTTGCATGCATATATTAGAGTAATGAAGTGTGAAGAATATTGCGTATGAAATGTCAACGAAAATTGAACTGTTTCTCGTCTTGATGATTGTTTGTTTATATCCGCGATTTTCTCCGTCGATAAAAGCCGTTTCAAGCATCTGCATGTGACAATTCACCGAAATTTCGGAAATAAACAAACACGGAAAAACATCCGCCAATTTTCGACATAAATAAACGCTGGAAAGTATACAGCCTAAGTGTATGTCATGCTTGACGAATAGCTTGTAACAGCAAGGAATCTTGGGCAATGTAGTGGCAATAGTGTCCTCTTCGTTGATTTCATAGTATTGTGCCATTTTTTTTTTTTTTTTTTTTCTGAGCAGAGATTTGCACAAACAGGTCTGTTCAGAAAAACAAAAACAGGTCATGTAAAGCCCTATATGGATAGCAATCTCGATATCCACACCTGGAAACACTATGTGAATTCAAACTGCATATTTTATCTGATGTCTTCTCCAAATTTGCTTGTCTTTTGCTTCTTTTCCAAGTTTGTGCCATTTCTTGTGCACCTATGCAAGCTAAAACTCTGCCAGGCCAAGCATCTTGTGGTTTCGGGTTTTGCAGAATTTTATCGAGGCATTTACAGTGGCATAGTGGCATGCACATTAGTGGAAGCATCATGCAGGCCAAAAGAATGCCCTAGCAAAAAACTCGACAGAGGAATTCCCGTCTATGAAAGGATGCCCAGATCATCGGAAGGCAGCATGCAATGCCCTGACCAGCGTCCAGTGCCAGAAAACTAATTGCAGCAAAAAGCACACTTTTCTTAGGGAAACCTGTAGTGGTTGCAGAAGGAGACAAGAAACAGCCATGGAGTACCAAGCAGTCTTGGTTCAGGCCACTACAGCCCTGCACACACTAAAGATTGCATATGACCTGCCCACCCACAGTGTACTGTACCCACAATCAATCTGCAACATTTCATCAATTTTACCAGACAATGCTGTGTGGTTATGCAAGGCTCTACCTAGTTGTAAGCCTCCGCTAAAAGCAATGTATTTTGGTTGCCAGAAGGGTTGTTTCTATAGCCCTCTTATTTCCTAGCTCGGCTGCTGATAAACTCCAGAGGTTCCAAAACTTGTAGCTTTATGTATTAGCAGTGTTGGCATCATAAGAAAGGCTTTTTAAAAACCCTCATATAGCAGGTAGGGGCATTCTGGAGCACTACCAAAGTCTCTCTAGTAGCTGTTAACAATATTGTCGGCATAGCTGGAGCATAAACATCAGCTCGGGTAAAGGAAACTAATAGACGTTTCACTAAATTACCCTAGCACCGGAAAGCATGCTGTGAATATATAGAGTACGCCCGTGTATCTTGCGAGGTAAATGAGCACGAAAAATCGGAACCTGCAAGTGGAGCGCTCAAACTTTCACAAAGTGTGCGTTGAGATGGTGCATTTTACCTCGTGAAATTTCAAGCCATAGTTCTGTTCCTGTAAAAAATGAGACCAATGAACTTGCCAAAGTCCATGGCGGGCACGTTCGCAGGCCACTGAGCCAGCAATCAAAGGGTCACTAAAATGTTTTGAGATCCTCGTTTTATGATCATAACTTAATCTACAAACTCTAAACATAAAAAAAAAAAATTACATTTTTGCGCTGTTGATTTGCGTATTAAAAAAGTGATAAATGTTTTTGACACTTACCATTGGCACAGGACGACAGATGGCGCTACTGAACCTTGCTGACTATGGTCAAACGATGGACAGCACTTGACAGCCATTTGCGAGCAACGGGTCCCCGTGTGGATGAGTGGCTGACCAGTCCCGTTTGTCCACGCGGGAACCCATCGCTCGTGAGTGGCTGACAAGCGCCGTCCGACGTTCGACCATATTCAGCAAGGTTCGGTAGCGCCATCTGTTGTTTCGCACCAACGGTAAGTGTCAAGATCGTTAATCATACGCAAATCGGCTGTGCACGAATGTAATTTCTGGTTTTTTAGGGTGCTTAGAGCTTGTAGATTGAGTTATGACCATAAAACAGGGATCTCAAAATGCACTTTAGTGCCCTTTTAATGAAACTTGTGGTGCCAACTCTTGATTGGCGCAGCGAGCAGACGAAGCACTCTGCTAGCTGCACCTATCAGGAGATGGCGCCACAAGTTACATTCATTGCCAACTGGATCGTCTGTAAAACACCGTTCCCCGTTGACTTTAGCAAGTTTGTTGATCTCTTTCTTTTACGGTAAGAGAACTACACCTTCAAATTCCACAAGGTGAAATGCACCACCTCAATGCACATTTAGTGAAAGTTAGAGCTCTGTGTGTGAGCGCCCATTTTTCCAGCTCATTTTACAGCGCAAGATCCACTGGGTGCACTCTATATACTCCGTTCACCCCCAAGCTGGGACTACAGTGGAAGCTATGTCCTCGTTGGACCAGTCACACTCCTCATTCGCCATGTCATCACGCCATACCCACGCGCGGAGAGCTGGGTAAAGTGATAAGAGAGGCGGCCGATTGGTCCGGCCGGCGTGTAGCTCTCACTGTAGTCTCAACTTAAGAGTGAACGTAGCATAGTTGCACGCGCTGCACATTCTGGCATCTGCAGTAGTCACTTTTCGAAAGCGAAAATCTAGAACAAATTGCATCTTACATTTGTCAGTGTCCTTTTCTTAGTAATTTACTTTTAAGTTTTCATACAAGTAAGACAAGGAAGAGTGTGCAACATTCATACCTATATTCCAAGCATTCTCCTTGATGCCTAGTAATTTGGCAACACAGATGACCAGCACTACATCACGCACACAAAAGATAATTTGACAGAGTTTAGATGGCTTAGAGTTCATTTTGGTAGCTAGATCGCCCAGCAAACAGTCTGTGACGCAGCTAAAGTGCAATTTTAATAAAAAATTAAGCTTTGGTGCAGGATGTAGGAGAATCATCTCGTATGTTTGTGCTGCAGCTTTGTGACCCTCACTATAATTCTCAGAAAGAGGCATCTAAACCCAAAACAATAGGCAATGGAAAGGTTACAACAGTGCTTTTATTTTAAAAGCTTGAATATAGTGAATTCCGTGGAACTGTGCAAGTTCAACATCCCCGTAAACCAAACTAGTGCACAAAAATCCAAGCAGTGGCATATAAAAGGCTTTGCATTTCCAGCACACCCACGTCCCCAAAACAGACAAATGTCAATCACTATTCCCAACTGTACATTTCTAGAAACCTTGCCAGACACACTCCATTCCAACCCCAAGGGGCCGGTCTCATTAAAAACATGTGAAGCACATGTGGCAGGTTAAAACACAGCCAAGACAAGCACACATAAGAGCGTATTGAAATGAGATCAGTGTAGCTGATTTTCTTTCCTTTTGTTCCAACTGCACGGGCACAACTGCCGTGCTAGTGACGACGACACAACTTACAACATGGTTGCTACAAGTAAAAGAGTGCATGTATATAAAACCTCCTCTTGGCTAAATGCCTTCTAAACAAGATTCTGACTTGCCTAAATAGAGCAACTGAGCGGAATCTATTCGGCAGAATATGCAATAAAAACTAATCTACGTCATGCCTCACCGTACAAAGGATTTCGAAATGGACAGAATGACCCTGGAGCCAAAGAATCACCACAACCTGAATTTTTTAAATATAAATTGTACTCAGTGGCTAGATGACACGACCTGCCACCAAGTTCAATAAGTCCAGCCATGATGCACATCTACCTATGCTCTTCTTTGTCACCAATGCCAGAATAGGCAACAGCACTAAATACATTTTTTTTTTAGTCACTATCCTAGGCTCGCAAAAAAAAAATAGGTTTAAGCAAACAAAACACGCCAGTCTTGTTTTTAATCGAGTGGTGCAATCATGGCCTCAGTACGTCGCATAGGTCATACTTATTCAAACACTCTGGCTATATATTTTTTTTAAATCTACATTCAATTGCTGCTCTACTTGGTCAAAGTTGCATGGTCAAAATCCCGTTTAGCGCAGCTTACAAAGAAGAGCGTACTAGTAAATGTGACATGTTATATAAGAGTGCAACATGCATCAAGCAATCACGATGCCGTTCTCCTTCCCAGCCGGGCTCCGTCCTCGCCTGACACCAGGCCGTGGGTCTGACTTTCCCTGCCTCTGGTGCTGACTTTCCTGGACGGATCGCAGCAGGGTGTTGGGTCTGCTAGTGTTTTTGAGCGGGGTTCGCTCGACACTTCCGGGAGTGTCCGCTCGCTTCTTGGCCACCTTCTTCTGTAGGCTGGCTTTGGTTTTTCCCTCTGATATGGAAACAAAAAAACAAAAAATTGTGGGCTTGGTAAGGCTAAATTTGGCACCCAGATATCTGGCCCGCAAAACGCGATAATCTACAGACGGTCCCAGCGTCTGTGCCATGTTAGAAAAGCATCAAATGAGGGTGTAGCATGGAGAGGGTTTGCTGCAGGGCCATTAAGGACTCCAAGAACTGTTAGACAAGCGGGTGGTAAATGCTGAAGTACCATCAGTCTTTTTGTGTTTTTTTTCTGTCCGTCTTTGAAACGGCTTTTTAAACTGAACTACACATTTGGAATGTGTGAATAAGTCAGTCGCAAAGTAGAAAAAACAATTGTGTTAAACACACTTTTTTTTTTTTTTTTTTCTGCTTTTACACGACAATTAGTAAAGCCGCCAGACCCCATGCGTCATTGTGGCGTGGCGGCAGGCTTGCTAGACATGAAGCTACAATAACAATATAACCATGATTTCGTGACTTTCACATCACACTCCGTGTGGCATGCACATTAAAGGGGCTATGACGTCCCAAAAAAGAAAAGAAAGATTATTGTTTATCTTCTGCTTAACTTTCAAATTCATGTATCAAAATACCGAAGCCAACAATGCCATGGTTTGGCTTGTACCTTCTTTTAAACCAACACCTAATACTTGACCACTCACTGAGCAGGGTGGCATTTATTGCAAGCAGATATAATGTCATCCACCTGTTTGGCTTGCGTTACACGGGCTGTCTAAGGATGGTGAGCCAACTCGGCAGCAGAGTTTGGCTGAGGTGTCGGTGGTTAGTGCATCGGTAGTTCTAGACATCTGGTTGTTTCACGACTAGCTGTAGGGGCCTTGATTTCTTTTACTAGCTTTGACATTGTCAATGGTTTGTAACTGAAACAGATGTAAACACCAGACCACGATCGCAACTCGGCCTCTTGTTCACCTTGTCAAATTATCCCACTAACAGATACAGAATAAGTAATGTCATGGGTGAAAATTTCCATAAATAAAAAAGCATGGATAAAAGAATTACAAGAAAAATATAATCCTAAATTGGTTTAGAGTTCCCTATATGCGTCTCAAATGTGTCCCAAATAAGAATATAGAGATTATTATTCATCTTCTGCTTAACTTTTAAATTCATGTGTGCCTGCAGCTCACGTAGAGGTCACAAGTTCGAGACCTGCTGGACGTGACATCCCGATTCAAAAGGAATCGGGCGGATCCAGATCTCCGTTTTGGGGGGGGGGGGGGGGGGGGGGGGGGGGGGGGGGGGGGGAACTTTTTCATTCTTTCTTGTGCAAGGGGGGTCCACCCATGTCAAATTGCCCTCCAAGAAGGGGGGAGGGAGGGGGGGTCCACTTTGTTTGGGAGGTGTAACGGCCGCCCCCCCCCCCTCTCTGGATCCGCCACTGAAAGGAATGATGTACCAACTAGCCCCATCACCCACTATTTATCCTGATTTAAAAAAACAACAAAAAAAGGTAGAAAAAGTAAGCATCTTGCAAACTAAAAGAGTCCTTGTTGAGAGTATTGGAAATCCATGAAATATTAGATTTTGCTTATACACATTTGCAAGTCCGGTCTCAGGGTGCCGCCATCTTCCTCAGTGCTGTGCGCTCTTGGGTGCGGCCATAATCCGATTAAGACGGCTTAGCAAGGCTTCGTAATCGATTATAGCGCGTTCAAGCGCACCCCAGCCAAGCAAGATGGCAGCGCCCTGAAGCTGGACTTTCAAACGTGTATATATTGTGCAATCAATGAAAAATTAAGATAGAAAAAAAATCTTTTTAAATTATTATGCAACCCTTTTAAATGATGTGCAACATCACAGTAAGCGCACAATTGTACACCACTGCATGCTCCCTATAAAACATCTGAAAGCAATCAGCAGCTTCTTCATCTCGCTGTTCAGTGAGAGCTTCCAGTTAATTCGATATCTCTTTCAATACTAGTCAATATTTTAAGAGACAACTAAATCCTGTTTTCCCACCCATTTTCAATGGTAACTTGGTATCACCAGAGGAGAAGTGCCATCTGTGCCGAAATGTACTCCAGTCTCGACGTTTGTTTGCTTAGAAAATTAGTACAACACGCGCAGTTAACCTCCATCATAACTTTGACCAGCACAGAGCCTACATGCTAGGCTGTGGACCCGCAAACATTGGAATAGTTGATACCCTTTGCAGCTAAGTGTTAGTTCACTTTCGCCTTGATGCAACCACGTTTCCCTACCTCTCGTGTAATGCCTGTGCAGGCCCTCAAAGCATGATTACTAGTAAATTCCAGGTTTCCGCGTTTTCGGTACATACCAATTAACGCCAGAATAGTAATTCCCAAGTTCTATGCAGATCCGTATATTGGGAGAGTTCGACCAGTTTATGATCTCGCCGCCTTAGTGCTTCCCTCCCGGGTGAGCCAATCAGCCCGCTGCACAGAGTGAGAGGCGTGAATTCATGCGCATTAACTCCCGGCTGGTCCCAGCTGAGTGGGGAGAGCTGCCATTCTCAATGACTTGTTTGGGCATGAAACGTTTTCCAGTGTATTCAAGTCGCGCTCACAATCCCTAGAATTAGAAAAATTGTATGCCCGTGTGCTCTTTTGTTCCACATGAGGGCCCCTTTAAGTGCCAAACGCTTGCCCAACACAAAAAACAACAAGCCTGTTAAAAAAAAAAAATTTCGGGAAACAAAAAAATTAATTTAAGAAAAATAAACCCCAGAAACGCAGAACCCTACAGTCTGTTGTGGGCTAAGTAAAGCGGGAAAAACTCTTCTCACAAAGCCCTCCACTTTGTCCACTTTAGCAGAATGAATGCTGGAGAGGAGGCAAGTGAAGAGAAGGAAACTACTAATCAAAGCAAGCAAAGTGCTTTGCGAGATTTTTATCCCACTTTTCTTGACCTGCAACAGACTACAGTAGTACTACAGTGCCTGGAACGCATTTCCAACTGGCGTCTTTATTTCGGAAAAAAAAAAAAAAAAAGCAACGTCACCTGTCCCCACTTTGGGACCACTTTCGATGCGCGGGCCGAATAGGCCCGTGTATCATAAGCCACCATAAGCGGTCGCCATCTTACCTTTGGGAACAATGCGGTTCCCTTCGGAAGGAAAAGCCCGAGACGCCGAGTCTTCGATCATGTTGCTGAATGAGTCCTCAGACTCCCCATCCGGGAGCATCTTCCCCATGGGGATCGGCGTCCTTTGAAACAGCCTCGTGGGGGACCTGGGGTCGTCCCCTGCCTCGGCCTCTGGCGTCACCGCGTCGGGCCAGTCGCCTTCCAGCTGGGGGTGTTACCGTTTTCCATGGATTAGACTAGAGCGCACAACGGGGGAGCTCTCGATGACTGCGACTAAGGGGTTTACGCTAACACAGCACAGATAAGGGCTATCGGGGAGAAGCATGTTATTATTGTTCCCGACCGTCCCCATAGAGCATCATTTGCACGTGATCGACAGGCACAGAGGCTCATTTAAAAACTCCCGCAGAGCTCTCGTGCCGTCCGCACAGTCTCGTAGGTAGTGTAAAGATTACGATTTTGGTTTCTGCATTTCTCTTCCTCTTTCCACGGGGCAGCAATTTTTAAGAAGAGCGTGAAGCCAACGACCCCTTCCACGGGTCCGGCATGCACTTGCGAGCGTGACAATTTTTGCGAATCTTTCATCAACATTTTGGGTCTGACGATAAAGCCAGATTATCATATTTTAGTTACGATGACCCACACTTGACCACGTTGAGAAACGATGTCAGTCAAGAGGGTAGACTAGATTTTTGGTAGATGAAAATCTTTTATAGCGGAGCTGTTAAGGGCTAGTTTGCCCAGGTTCGTGTCCATCACTATATAAATGTCGACACAAAACTCTGGACAGCTACCGCCACCTATGAGCGACGGCAGCAACCTTTCCAGCCTTTCTACTCTGGTTTTCACCAGAGTGGAAAGGCATAATTTCTCTAGGCGTCGTCCTAGAGGACAACGCCTGGAGGACGACCACGTCTAGGACGACCACGTCTAGGACGACCTTGGTGTTGTCCTAGATGTCGTTCTTGAGGTCGTCTTAAACATTGTCCTCGAGGTTGTCCTCAAAGTTGTCCTTGAGATCGTCCTAGATGTTGTTCTCTAGGCATCGTCCTTGAGGTCATCCAAGAAGTCATCCTTGAGGTCGTCACACCACTGCACAGCTTCACTGGCCTTCCTTCTTCACCAGAGTGAAAAGTAGAAGTGTTTTTAACTAAAGCTCTAGCTTTTGCATAGTTTTTGTTTTTTGCAAAAATGGGGAAAGTTTTGCAAATTTTAAACATTGCATTAGAATTCCAGTCTCTACTGCAATGTTTGCGTCATTCAAAAGACCATTTATTTAGCTTAATTTCTACGGATGGCATCGCATTGTAAACGTAATAGCTTCCACGGAAAAAAAAAAAATGCAACAAAAAGTCACAAAACGCATTTTTCCCGTGGTCGGCTAAGAGTTGAGGCTTGCTTACCCATTTGCGTCCGAGTGCATCGCGCTCGCTCGTAACTGCTTACGACGAGGGAACATATTGACGCCATATATCAATCAATCAATCCTCAATTATTAGGTAGCCCTGGAACTATTCCGATTTGCATATATATATATATATATATATTATTTTTTTTTGGTAACATTTTTTGTTGTGGGCTTCAGATAATTCTAGCAATGTTATAAGCGAACAATTCTTCATAGATTGTGCGTAGGTTGGGTGTTGCAAATACTGCAGATCATTCAGTTCCGTTAGGGGTTCCCGGGCTGCCTAATAATTTTGCCAGTCTAATCTTTCGCCGTGATTACAAGCGGGCACAATGCATTCGCTGTAAACCCAAAAAAGTGAACAGTTCAGGGCAGTTACGAGAGCACCAGCCAGTAATTCTGGGAGGAAGTCCAGTGCATATGCAGTCTTGCAGTGAAAGTGCTTTCATTGCGAGCTCTTAACTTTTGCAGAAGTGTGAGTGAAACATTAACCTGCAGATAGATCTGGTATTTCTACTGTACAAGTGCACTTTATGGGTGAAATGAATAAAAGCCCGTTCATACCTATGCCACAACGCTACCTCAGTGCTGTATTTAGTGCTCTGCTTTGAAGCGTAGCTTATTTAGTGGCTCTATATCCATCCCTACTATGTCCAACCCCCCTATACTTTGGCCCCGCTGAACAAAACAATGCGCAATTTAAAAAATGCAAGACACTCCAGATTGTTATGCTCGGCAGGCTCGTGCGGCACTGCGCAATGGAACTGCATAATCCCTGCAAGCAAAATTATTGCTGTGCAGCAGAGAAAGTCCAAACAGCAACAAAAGTTGCAGCAATCGCTCTCTCCTCCTCCCTCGGTGCCCTGGAAATAGATGTCCAGATCTCAAGAATTTCTGGGGAGGACCCTAGTTCTTAACTATAGTGCCTCAGCACCGCCTCAGTACCGAGTTACGTTCGAGTCGGCGCTGCATCAGCACCGTTTTTAGTGCTCCTCTAGAGCTGTGACGTACGTGTGAACCGTCCTCGATCGAGGACACGACAAGTATGCACGGTACGGCACCTCAGACGCGTCTCCGACCAGTGTGTTTAGCATCCTGTCTTGTTTATAGATCAAAATGATATGTTCATGGCTGCAGTGACCCTAAAGTGACAAGGGTTTTCCTCGCAAGGCTTTTCAACAGCTGTCTGCTCTACCAAGAGTGGTCACCTCCCTTTTCATCTGCAAACAATATTGATGACCAGCGACATAGCCACACATACAAAAGCACGCTACAAAAAGTAATATATCTCGGCTTTTGTTTGAGTGAATTTTGGTCAGTCATGCAATTTGGTCAATATGCAGTTATGTGCTTTTGATGTTTGAATACCCTTATCAATATTTGGCTGTAGAGAGAACTCAAAATTAACTTTGATTGAGACAACTAAGCTTTCACAAGATTACCACTGTAAATGGAAAAAAAAAAAAAACCATAAACCCACACTGGCCTAGAGCAATCAAGAAAACAAAATTGCGGTGTTAACAGCGCGTGGAATTTTCCAGGTTAAAAAAATGTCGCGTTTTTTTTTTATCGACGCACAAACACGCACTATTATTTGGGCACATATATCTGTTTGGCCTTTATATAAAAGCGTCCCTGCTCTGAGTTCCCTTGGGAGCGCTGGTATGGCACCACACAAATAGTACACGCAGCGGAAACCGCCTGTCTAAAAATGTTCATGGCTTCCGCGTGACGTCATCACGCACTCCTGCAGGTTATTCCTATTTATATTGCACTTCATTCTCGCTTCATCCAGAGTACCATACCTACAGTGCAAAGTTAAGACTGTAGAAAGAGCACGTGCGGCAGAAAAACCCTCAAAACGCCAGACAAGACTATACCCGTGCAAACAATCTACAGATTGGGCGTCCACCCTTCCTCGAAAGCGTAGTCAACGTTTCGAGCAGAACAACAAACGATACGCTACAGTCATTAAGATGTAGGCCGTGCACTGAAATGGCAGCACGTTTCTACTACCTGTATCGGTGTCCTTTGAATTTCGGTGGTTGGCGAGCGAGGGTCCAACGACGACAGAGTCAACACACCGGACTGCCTGCGAGCCGGTAGCGGGGTGCTTTGTTCGGCGCCTTCGTGGACGTCGTTCCAAGTTTTGCTCACAAACTGCCCCATGCTGTTCGGTAACTCCGGTTAGTTCGAAGGAAAAAACACTTTACGAGTGTGCAGTTTTCAAATCGAACACGGACTTGAATCAACCGCCAGCAGCTGGCTAACCGACCGAGTGGTGGAGTAAAAATAAAATAAAAACAAAATCACGGCAACGGCGCTGACACGCGCCACTTGCGGTAGCGGTTTGAAGTGATCTGATTCGAAAAATAAAAGTTATTTCAAGAGGAAAATACATTTCCCGAAAACGATTATTTATCGAGTCATATGAACCCTTCGCAAGAGTAATGGGCAGTTTATGCTAGTAAGTGGGGAAAACAGAAACGTGGAATCCGAAAACTGAAAGTCCGTTGAGAGTGTAATCGCATAGTTATCACAAGCACCCAGGGAGGGCGCAAGGTGTCAAACAACCTCTCTAGGCCTCTTTTTTCCCGCGTGTTTCAAATGGAGCAAACGTGTTCGCGCTGTTGTTGATCATGTCCCAACTAGGGATGCCGCGAACTTTTTTCGAATCGAAGTTTCGATGATCGATTCAAGCGGTTCAAAAGGTTCGAAAGATTTCGATTTTCGACCTTTTCACCCTTTCCACATCGACAAATTCGACGGAAGTCGAGTTTTCGAACTTGTTAAAATAATGACGAATTCGGGTGGTCAGTCGCCGGCGAGAACGAGCCGGCGGAACCGGCAACCAGAAACGCGCCGGCGGCACACCACGTGACCCTCACCACCCGAACACGAAACGCCAGACGGTGGCAGTTTATTTCACCTCTTGCCCGCGCGACACCGCTAGCGAGAGCCTGTCACCGCCGTCACTCATGTCCCAACGACTTGGATTGACTTTCGTAGCGGCTGCTAAAGTTACTTAAGATCAGTTTCCTTCTTTCGTTCATATTTTTTCTCACTGACCTTCTCTCTCATTTCGGAAGTGACGACACCGGATACAGTCTGGCGCCCACTCGCCCGGCCGTTCGGAGCTCGGGCGGAAAAAGCGCCGGAAAGTTGCCGGTGCTTGCCGGAGAACCTCCACCCGAATGGTGCGCGCCGGCCGGAAACTGACCACGCGAACACTATTGCCGGTTTTCCGGCAAAATAAGTTGCCGACGATTGACCACGCGAATTCGCCATAAGAAGTTAGACGTTTTTCGAAATTCGAACTTATTACGCTGCTAAATTCGATGTTTGTCGAACTTTCGACCTTGATAAACTAAGAAAATCGATGATTTTCGACCTTTCAAATTTCTTGCACTAAAAAGTTCGAAGATTTTCGAACTTTCGAACTTCCTGCGCTAAGAAATTCGATAATCTTCGATTTTTCGAACTTATTAATCTAAAGAATTCGAAAATTGTCGAACTTCCGATTCCTGAAAAGTCCAAAGTTCGACGAACTTCGATTTTTAGGGTAAAAGTTCGAAGTTCGTCGAACTTCGAAAGAGGTACATTCATAATTATTTTTCTCGCATTTTTGCATGTGGTGCCGCATTCTTTGCGAAAGATAACGCCGTTTATTTCAATCATCTGGCATGCTTGGTTTCAAAGAAATAGATTCCCGAAGGAGCAAGGAAGGAAGACGGGTTTTTGACAATTGTCGTTTGTGCCATATTTGAAGCGCGCTGTAGCCGAGGATATTTATGGTAGAGATGTTAAATTTTTTAAGAATGATCAATGGATAAGCTAGGTAAGTGTCGTCTTAAGATATGATTATTGTTGTTCAAGAGGAGTTTGGAAGAAATTTCCAAATATGTATCTACGGGCAATTATGCCCTAAACTTGGTAATTTTTTTCGTCGAAATTGTTTGAGGTATCGCATTTAAATTAACGCAGCAGACAGTACATATCATTACTATCTGCAGAATACAAATTAATGTATATATTGTTCTTTTCACGTTGAGAAATAACAAAGGAACAGAGAAGAGGGAAGAGAGAAGAGAAGCGCAAACTCACAACTCGATGTATTGAAGGAAGAAAAAAGAACAGCCCTCGGTATCAGCTCTAGCCGAGGCCACACTCGCACGGGGGCACCCGAGCTTGCGAAAGACACACACCATCAACCAAACTCAAACGACTGTAGAAAGGCTATTTCCTTGTCCGTTAAAGCCACAGAAGGATGGCTGACACAACGCTCGCCTAAGCGGAGTATACTAAAAGCTTCAAAAATTTCGCGAGTGTGTTTTTCGGTGAATCTGCCAATTATCGAGGTCTTTTGCAAAGAAGATGTACAGTTACACGCTTGACAATGCAGAGGTAGGTGACCCCCCACTATTGAATTTAGAGAAAGATTGTGCCGGTCATTAATACACCGTCCTGTCTGTCCTACGTAGGATCTGCCACAGGAAAGGGGAATGCTATAAACCACTCTGGTTGAACAGGGCACGTAAGGGCGGACGTGTTTTGTGTGGCACCTGTGTTTTGTAATATTTTCTATTTTTGCTCGAACTTTAGAACAAATTTGACCCATTTTTTTAGGTGCTGACATCACCAAGGGGACTCCGTACCTATTGGCTACCTGTTTGAGATTGTGAGATCTTTTAGCCTGCACACATTTTGGTAGGAGAAATTCGTTTCGTAGTTCTGGGCCTCTGAATATGCAAGAATACCACACTTCCGGCGGATTCTTGATAGTGAAAAGACGGTGAGTGTGCAGGCGAGCTGGTGGTAGCTAATCATGTCGTATTACACCTGAGACTGCGGTGGAAGAAATCGGAAGAACTTTCAGTAGAAGGAACAGACGTTCTCTGTGTCTGTTCCTTCTACTGAAAGTTCTTCCGATTTCTTCCACCGCAGTCTCAGGTGTAATACGACAGGATTCTTGATAGTTTTTTTTTCTCCAGCTTTTTTATTTTTTTTTTTTTTGCATTTATTGTTATGTTTATTTATTTCTTATTTTTTACCAATGGCAAAGTTATTTAGGTCGAAAAGACATAGCTTTGAACTTCCGAACCGCTAAGCATGTGACGAGTAGTGCCTTCTGACAACGAATTTCTAATAATGACCAACTACGCTATCTTTTATGCAGTGAAGAGCGACAGAAAAATTTGGCTTGCTCTTTATGTTTATGTAGCCTTGATGGAGATGCGCCTCAACGGGTAATCGGTCTCTTAGCTGTAGATGAGAAATTTTAGCCAGTGCGGTACAACCGCTAACCTGGGATTTTTAACGTGCATCACGCAGTAGTGATCACACGAACGCGTGCCGGTACGAAACTCATCCAGATCGAAACGGGCGGGGGCGGCGGGGATCGAACCCAGGAGTTTCCCAGCGCAAGCTTTCGCTCCACTTTCCGAGCTGAGACGCGTTAGCCCATTCGGCCACTTCCTCCCTTGAAGAGCGACAGTAGCTACACATATGCATAAATAATTTCAGATTAAAATAAGCCCGACCATGTTCTCTTTCCCCGTATTGTTTTCTTTAACAGTCCGAAATATCGGGGGGGGGGGGGGGAGGCTGGAACCCCCCCCCCCTTCCCCCCCCCCCCCCCCTTTTCCGTTCTTCCTCTTCCGACGCAGCTGGTATGGTAGAACGCTCCTCGACCTCAAGTTGTGATGGCTTCTGTGCTTTTTGCTCGGCGTTTCTTCCGTCTCCGGAAAAAAACCTCCAAAACAATTACAAACTAAAACATTGTCAAGGTGCAGGCGACCTGGTGTATATTGATCATCATGCTAAATCCCGGGACTGGGAATGAAATTCGAACGAAATAGTGTAAGAAGAAAGAAAAAAGGCGACAGGACAAAGTCTCAAACTCAGTTGAGTTGAGTTTGAGACGTTATTTTTGAGCTGAGTTTTGTTGTCTTGTCCCCTTTTTTCTGTCTTCTTACACTTTTCCTTTTAAATTTCATTCCCAGTCTCAGGATTTTGCATCATGTACACACTAAACTTACTATATGCCAGCGTCACTCGGGCGTCGTTCGAGCGGATTACTACCAGCGTGCAAGTGCAAGGGGGTGGGGAGGCAGTTTGCCAGATCGCTTCAAGGTTTTTCTGAGCCTCAAGTGACCCTCAACATAGCCTCCTCTATACGGAGTGCCCTCAACCACCTGCCTTCCCCTGGCCGTTTCGAACTGGACGAGTTCGTGTGATTACTACTGCGTGATGCACGTTAAAGACCCCCCCCCCCCCCCCCCCCCCCCCGGGCTGGCGGCCCAATTACTGATCTGCACACGTCACTCTGCACTGGCAAATAATCCAGCACATCCGGAACACTCCAACTTCGCGAAATCTGAATATTATACCCGAACATTTCTAAACCTGATTTCGTGAAAACCAGTGAGGGGTGAAAACGTTATTTGAAACTGAAACTGTGGCGGAGCATGAAAACCGGACTTCGAACTTTGCGCACTTGGACTTTAAAGAAATTCGAAACCTAAGTTTCTTTTTCGAATTTAGCTCTAAAAGAGAATCGAAACCTTCGAGCCTTTCGACCTTTATGTAGAAGGAAATTCGAAATCTTCGAATTTATCGACCTTCATGTCTATAAGAATTCGAAACATTCGAATTTTTCGATTTTCAGTTCCAAAGAAAATCGAAACATTCGAATCTCTTGAATTTCAAGTTAGGAAAGTCCGAAATCTTCGATTTTCTCGAACCTCAAGTAAAAAGATATTCGAAATAATCGAACCCGAACTTTTAGAAACCGTGAAAGCTTCGAACTTTTCGAATTCGAAACTCCACGATTTTTGAAAGTTGCGAATTTTCAAAATCGAATCTTCGTACGGTCGAAAATATCGAAACCTTTCGAATTCGAACATCAGTTCGGTTCGAAAATATCAAAATCTTTCGAAATCGAACCTAGGGTGTTTCGCGGCATCCCTAGCAGGGTGTCGAACCGGAGCCGAACCGAACCGAAAACCGGAACCGAACCGTTATTTTTAGCCGAACCGGAACTCAACCGAACCGAAATCTTCGCCGCCATCTTGAAACTGAACCGGAACCGAACCGAAAACAGAATATAACGGTAACCGGTTCAAAACGGTTCAAGGTATTCTTTTTTCGTTTTTGTTAGTATCACAAAACGAACATATGGGAATATGAAATTGGCGGCTGTATTTCTATCTATTGTTCAAATTGTCACATACAGAATTGCAATGTATGGTAAACTGTGGGTTTTCGTGGCGCTTTTGTATTGGCACTATGATTAACCATGTGTCACGTTGT